AAATTGCATGTAGCACTTGAAATGTCACCAGAGCTTTAGAAAATAGAGACAGGCCACGTCATCTGGATAGCCTAAGGGGCAAATTTATAATTGATCAACTTTTCCTTTTACCTGTGTTTCAGTTTTCAGGAAAGAGAAAATTAAGCCCAGGAATTCACTTTTTGCAAGACCAGACAAGGTGACATGGTCTTGCAAATATTATGCATATTTTTTTTCAAGTAGGTTTTGTCTTGGAAGCTATTTGTGTATAGAAATCCACAGGGAATATATTAATTGTGCTTCTGATAATTGTAAGGAACAGCAATCAGCAATAGCTGTTTGTTTTACAAACCAGGATAGGGAAAACATGTTGATGTCTCTTCTTAATCCATGGAGCAGGTGGACTTGATAGTTAGAGTGAAGTTGAGTAGTTGACCTACATGAAACTGAGCACATGCAAAGAAGATGGAGCTTGAAAGATGGAGCTACATCTGCTTCACACATGCTATAGCCAGCCTGAGCTCTCCTGGTTGAGAAGAAAGTGGTAGGTCTGCAGGACCCCAGTGGTAAGGGGAAGCAGACCTAAGGCCTGCGGGGACCCCAAGGATTAAGAAGCATAGGGTGCCTGAGGGAGTTGGGGAAGCCTTGGGTTTATTTATTTATTTTTATTTATTTATTAAATTTATATACCGCCCTATCTCCCTTACGGGACTCAGGGCGGTGAACAGGCGATACTAAAAACCACGATAATAAATAAATAGTTTCTGTTCTAAAATCGAATTAAATAACAGGCCTGTTCTAAAAACACACCCGTAAAAAAAAACCCCCACTAAAACATAATCGAACTACGCCAGGCCGGCCGCACGGAATAGATGGGCCTTCAGGGCTTGGCAAAAAAGGCGCAGGTCCACAACTGTACGTAGGTCGGTGGGTAGGTCATTCCAGAGGGCAGGAGCTGCCACAGAGAAGGCTCTCCCCCTGGGGGTCGCCAGCCGGCATTGTCTGGCCGACGGCACTCTAAGGAGGCCCTCTCTGTGGGAGCGGACTGGTCAAAGGGAGGTGTTTGGTAGGAGGCGGTCTTGCAAATACCTAGGTTGCTGTGGCAAATGACCCAAGGCCTGGTTTAGGCTTCCCAGTGTGTCCCACACCCCTGAGGCACCCCATGCTCTGCTTCATGGCCTGTGCAGTTGCTTAATGAGTGCACTGGGAAGTACAGGGGCAGGAGTTATTTAAGCAAGGCATTCATGTGGCTACTTCGTTTCATGTCCATCAAGTCTTGTAATGTAACCAAAATGGACAAACTCCATTAGGGTCATAACTCAAGGACTACCGGTCCCCACGTGGAAGGAGATTAAATTAGATACTGACTTCTCCCATAGTTCTTAGAAATAGGCAAGGACGATCTCTCAAGATGTTATGCTAATTTAAATTCTACAGGAGGGTTGATTAACAACTAGTTGGAGCCAGAAAATATTGTCAGCTATATTTTGTCTTGTGAAGTTATATCTTCAGAATTTTCAGCTGGTGTGGGAAGGATACCACTGGCTGGGGTAATAAGAAATGATGCATTGTTAAGTGGTTCTCTCCTTTCGCTGAAGCTGGTTCCATTCTGTGTTGGTTGGAGAGGTCACATTAAGCCCAAAGCCCTGATTTTTAAGATACCTCAGTGTAACCTTCTCTGTTTGAGGTCAGTACTCACAATGACATTGATCCAACTTAACCAACCTATTAAAGCACCTTTTTAAAAGGTCAGGTTTAATTTGCACCCAGAATGGCTCTCTAGACTTGGTCAGGGCCATCTTAGTCCAATGTTCTTTCAGGGTGTCCAAACCAGAAGCCTTTGCATTGATCCAAAGCAGGAGAATTACACCTCTCACTCACCATTGCTCTTCTCTCCTGCCACTGCTAGGCAGAGGCATGTGAACTCACAAGTGGCACTACATCATCAAGACTATATCCCCTCTTTTTCAAAGGCTTCTCCAATCCCTCTTCAGTGGTTAGTAGCTGCTATCACATCTTGTGAGATTGGCTATTGTACTTCTATGTTACGTGTAGAAGACCTTAGGAGATGGAGAATATGGGCCATTCTACTTTCCCTGGAAAAATAACTTCCCTCAAAGATACTGTAACCCTTCGACTGTATTATATAACCTGATGCCTGCTCTTTCTAGAGGTAGCTCAGGCCATCCCCTGCCTATAAGACCAAGCAAGAACCAAGCCCTGTGCATTTCCAAGGCCATGAACTTTCTCTCCTCTGAGGTTATATTCAGCATCATTTTATTCTATCTAGCTCTTTTCTTCTCTTTGATCACAATCCTTGTGTTGGCAGCCTTAATTAAACATTACAACACACTGATCACCCAGGCCAACAACCAAGATCTCACTTATGATCCCGCATGCATGCACAAATAGGCCACACATGAGTGCATGCACACATGCAAATGGGGCTGCATGGGAGCAAGTGCTGCAAATGGGCAGCACTAGTGCCGGTGGGATGCTCAGAGCACTAGTGCCGGTGGGACACTCAGGGGTGCGATGGCACTAGCATCGGCAGGATGCTTGGAGCTGCGCTAGTGCCAGTGGGACACTCAGGGGCAGGGCAGCACTAGCACTGACAGGATGCTCAGGGCTGCGCCAACGCCAGTGGGATGCTCGGGTGAGGTGGCACTAGTGCTGGCAGGATGCTTGGGGCTGTGCTAGCGCCAGTGGGATAATTGGGGTCCTGCTAGCATGAGTATGAGGGGGTGAGTGCACACGCATGTGCACATGCACTGGCCATCCCTTCACGTGGCCCAATGGCAAAGCGACCGCAGCCTGGTAGTGTGCTGCAGTCCACAGGTTGGGGACCCCTGATGTAAATAACCTAACTGTACGTTTGGAAGATAAAACTGACACCAATTATTATGATGATGATGGTTTGACTATAAGCCTCCCAGTACAACTGAAACAAGAGTGTCAGGTAAATTCACAACTCTTAAGAGGTCAAGTTTGGGATTTTTTCCTTATGGACATCAGCAAGGTTGAGAATTCTTTGAGAAAAAAAAGATATGATTGACATCTTAGAGATGGAAACTTCACTCTACAAGGACCTGCTCCAGGTTAATTTACAATGTTTAATAGAGCAACCTATTTTATGGATATAAACAAGGTTGAGAACTCCTTGAAGAAAAATGATACCCTTGAGAGGAAAGAAATCATTCTTTGAAGAGAAGCTGGAGGGAGTAACTTAAATTTAATTATTTAATTAGGATGATTTTTTATAAACTTTGACATATGTATTGAAAGAAAGTATTAAGGTAGCTTCATATGTATACAATAAGTCCGTAAATGTATGTCCTCTGTTTTTTTGTTTGGTTGCCTGTTCTTTTTGTAATACTGTAAAGTTGTGATTGTAATGTTGTTACCTTCTACTGTGCTAAAGAAAGTCAGAAGTTAGTGCCTTTTTCTTTTCTCTTCTTTTCTCATACTATCTTTTTTCTTTTCCCTTCCCCTTTTTCTAGTTTTCTGTTACTTTTTAAATTTTCCTTTGTATTTTAATTTTGACAAACCAATACAAATTATTTAAAAAAGAGACAGAAAAAACAGAAAAAGCACCTTTGTGTCTGCAAGGCTTGCTCTTTCTGGATTATTAAAGGTAGCCAAAAGAAAAATGACCCCATGAGGGACTTGTTTCAAATGATTTGAGTCCTTGGACAATGTACTGCCATCTGTTTGTGAAATTAAATAGATATCCTTCCCAAATAACCAATTTCTAAGCATTTCCTGTACTCTTATTTGTAAGTTCACTCCAACACTGGAAGTTTTAAAGAAGAGACTGGACAGCCATTTGTCTGAAATGGTAAAGGGTTTCCTGCTTGAGCAGGGGGTTGGACTAGATGACCCCCAAGGTCCCTTCCAACTTTATTATTATTATTATTATTATTATTATTATTATTATTATTATTATTATTATTATTATTATTATTATTATTATTATTATTATTATTATTATTATTATTATTATTATTATTATTATTATACAAGCAAGACAACATCATAACACTCTAGACTCTAGAAAGAGTACAGAGAAGAGCAACAAAGATGATTAGGGGACTGGAGGCCAAAGCATATAAGGAAAGGCTGCTGGAATTGGGTATGTTATAGTTTAATGAAGAGAAGGACGAGGGGGGACATTATAGCAGTATTCCAATATCTCAGGGGCTGCCACAAAGAAGAGGGAGTCAAGCTATTTTCCAAGGTGCCTGAAGGCAGGACAAGAAGCAACAGATGGAAACTAACCAAGGAGAGAAGCAACCTAGAACTAAGGAGAAACTTCCTGACAATTAGAACAATTAACCAGTGGAACAACCTGCCTCCAGAAGTGGTGAATGCTCCAACAATGGAAGTTTTTAAGAAGAGACTGGACAGCCATTTGTCTGAAATGGTATAAGGTTTCCTGCCTGAGCAGGGGGTTGGACTAGATGACCTCCAAGGTCCCTTCCAACTTTATTATTATTATTATTATTACTCTGTCTTCCTCCCTGTTCAATAGTGAATGAGTCACAAAGTATTCCATTTATACTAGCCCATTCTTCCTTCCTTTCATCCATCCATCTTCCTTCTTCATAATAGTTGGAAAGGATGACAAATAATAAGAAAAGCACCATCAAAAAATATCAATTAATATCCATTTCACATCATCTTATTTATTAATACAGTATGTTTCTCAATTAGTTTAAGAGACAGTAAAAATGTGGGTCATTTAAACTGTAGGAAAAAATGCTAATAGTTTATCGAATGAAAACCCTAGTGGGGAACTCAACAAAGCCTCAGGGATCCTATGAAAACAAACAAAAAGACAAACAGTGAAACTAATGCAACACATTAATGGACAATAAAAACATTGGTGTTTGTTGCTGATCCACAGATACCTTCTAATTAGCCACATCACTTGATTTCCAAACCTGTCTTTTATTTGAACATTTTAAAGAAATTAAATCAAATACAAAAGTCAAAATAAGATTTCCCAATCCCCACATAAATCAGAGATTCTTATTCCTCATTATATTCTCTCTACAATTCAGATTGGGCCTCAATAGGATAATGTAGCATTTGGGAAAAAAGATACAAACCAAGAGAGCAGTTCCAGAGGCCAAAATGGAGAAGATCTCCACAACCACCATGGACTTCCCTTTGGTGCTCATATAACTGGGAAGGAAGGTGATCCAAACACTGCAAAAGACTAGCATGCTAAAAGTAATGAACTTGGCTTCATTAAAACTATCAGGCAATTTCCTAGATAAAAAGGCCACTGTGAAACTGATGAGGGCCAAAAAGCCAAGGTACGCGAGGACAATAAAAAACATTGAAGGTGTGCCTTCATTACATTCCAAGATGGTCTCACCAATCAGTGAGTGGAAGTCCAAGTTTGGAAATGGGGGAGAGGTTCCCAGCCAGGTGGCACAAAGAACTGCTTGGATCAGGGGACAGCCTAAGACAATGGAATTGGTCAATGGTTTTCCTAAGAGTTTCCTTGCCCTGTTCCCTGGCTTGGAGGCCATGAAGGCCAGAACCACCATGACAGTCTTTGCCAACACAGAAGAAACCGCAAGGGAAAAAAGAATGGCAAAGGTGGTTTGTCGGAAGAGACAGGTCAGCTTCATAGGTTGACCAATGAAGAGGAAGGAGCAGAGGAAACAGAGCAGGAGGGAGACTAGAAGGATGTAGGTGAGATCTCGATTGTTGGCCTTGACAATAGGTGTGTCACGGTATTTAAGGAAAATTGCCAGGACTGCCAATGTGATCATGGAGAGAGAAAGAGTGAGGAAAACTATGGTGTATCCCAAACTCTCTCCATAGGCTAGGAAATGGACCTTCTTGGCTTTGCACTGGTCATTGTCCTTCTTGGGGTATTGATCTTCTGGGCAAGGGTCACAGTGTTCTGCATCTAAAATCAAAAGTCATTCTATAAATATTCCAGATATACCTGCAGTGAAGAAGGTCTCTCCCCCCCAAGTTTCTCTGGGGGTGACATGGATGGTTCCTTTCTGCAATGGTCAGTTCCAAAAGAAGATAATGGAAGGGCCCCCTGGCCAGCTTATACTGTCATAAAAAGAACAAATCATCCTTCATTCATGATGACCATGGGATAGGTTAGCAAGAGACAAGGATCTGGCTGACCTGGTCAGTTTCCTATAGAGAAAAAAGTTTCCTCCAGTCACTGGACACTTCCATAATTACTTTGGATTTCAATATGAGAGAGATTGCCAACTGCTTTTTTCCCAATTTATTCTGGAACCCCCAAAAGACTTATAGATTTGTCAGCCAGGAATCCTGACATTTTGAGTTTGTACATTAACTCTTGGTGTGTGCTGAGAAAGATCACAATTTGAGAAAGAAATACAATTGTACACTGAGTATTGTCAGAGGGAAAGGTTTCTATTCATTCATTCATTTATTTACTTACTTACTTATTTATTTATTAAATTTATTTGCCACCCATCTTTTCTTGATTAAAAATTATTTACAGGGAAATAGACTACACGAGACAAAAGAGAAAGAGCCAGAGTCAGAATAGCACTGAGAGCTCTGAAGATGAACCTATTTATTTTTTAAAAAAGTATATACTACTCTGCTTTTCACATCAAATCTGCCCATTCAGACATTTTTTAATGGGAGGGGTTAAATGACATACCTATAAAGATATCTTCCTTCTCTAAGAGGTATATAAATTTCACGGGAGTTTGATAGTGCTGACAGAAAAATCATACATTAATTAATAAAAATTAAAGCTTGAAGAACACACACCACATCTTGAGGAAAGATTCATAGTTGGTTTTCCAATGGGGGAATAACAATATGAATGAAAAGCACAATCAAATGTGAGAATAAGCATAGAAAGGCTAGTAGGGACACCCATAAATTGTACCCTGAAACTATCCTGTATTAAATTGGTGAGGAACGAGAAAGGGTGACCTGTGGGGGAACGGCAGTTTAGATCCATTCACTGAGAGATTCTGCTGAAAAATATGACTGTTTGAAGCAGTTCAATCCTACCAAAAATGACAACAATAATAAAACATATTTTTATCTACTAAATGGTGTCTTGATCCTGAAAGATCTATATTTGAAGTCTGCTCTACCTGTATGATTAGAAATGGTCCCTTCTGGACAAGGATCACATTGGTAGCAGCAGACCTGCTTGCCCTCTGGAACACGTCTCCTCTCGCCTGAATGGCACCTCTTTATGCCACACCTGGCAAAGGGCACCTTCTAAGAGAGAAAAGGGAAATGCTTGAGATGGCCTAAAATGAACATACTTGATTTATTCATTTCCACATTCCTATTTCTATGTTCAGAATCTCTTCAAAAGAAATGATTCATCAGAGTCTACCAGAACACAAAAATGGCAACTAGGACACTCAGGCCAGTGACACTCCAACCTACCAATGGATGCTGGAGATTGGAACTGGGACTTCAGCACACAAAGGAAGGCTTGTGACATTAAGAAAGAACAGAACACTATCGTGGAGCAGGGACTTTGATCTCAACTTTGATCTGCATATCTGGCAAGAACTATGGGCATGAAATAGGAAGCTCACGTTGGCCACATCCTACTAAGAAAACCTTTACAAAATGTTTTATAGATGGCATTTCCCACCCACAAGACTAGCTAAAATGGGCCCAAATATTTCTCCTACATGCTGGAAATGTAAATTGGCAAGAGGGACATATTATCATATGTGGTGGGAATGCTCAAAAGCCCGTGACTTTTGGAACAAGGTTAAAAAATGGCTAGAAGAAATACTGATTACAGAGGTAGAGCTAAAACCAGAACTCTTCTTACTAGGTATTATCACGCAGAAATACGATAAAGGGGCACTTCACTTGATGATACATATTTTCACAGCTGCTAGATTGGCCTACGCACAAAACTGGAGAAACAAAGAAATTCCAACAGAAGAAGAGATTCTATATAAAATCTTATCGTGTGCTGATATGGATAGGCTTACTATGGAATTAAAGGACAAGACAGAATCAGAATATTTTGAAATCTGGGACAAATTTTATTGCTTGTACGAGTCAAGGAGAACTGTTCGGGTTTTAAGTTAGTGTTAAGTTTGTGGTATATAAAACTGTATGCTAGTATATAGAAAAACAAATTTCAGACTGTATTATATAGGAAAATATGTGTATATAGAGATTAGGAATTATATGTATGACAAGGAAAAAATTGTTAGGATTATATATACTGGAACGTCACGTTATGTCCTTTTTTGTTTTAACTGTTTTATTAATAAAAAAACTTTTTTTTAAAAAAAAAGAAAGAACAGAACAGAATAGAATAACAAAATTGGAAGGGACCTTGGAGGTCTTCTAGTCCAACCCTCTGCTCAGGCAGGAAACCCTATATGATTTCAGACAAATGGTTGTCCAGTCTCTTCTTAAAAATGTCCAGGGTTGGAGCATTCACAACTTCTGGAGGCAAGTCATTCCACTGATTAATTGTTCTAACTGTCAGGAAATTACTCCTTAGTTCTAGGTTGCTTCTCTCTTTGGTTAGTTTCCATCTGTTTCTTCTTATCCTGCCTTCAGGTGCTTTGGAGAATAGCTTGACTCCCTCTTCTTTGTGGCAACCCCTGAGATATTGGACGACTGCTATCATGTCACCGCTAGTCCTTCTTTTCATTAAACTAGACATACCCAATTCCAGCAACCGTTCTTTATATGTTTTAGCCTCCAGTCCCCTGATCATCTTTGTTGCTCTTCTCTGTACTCTTTCTAGAGTCTTAACATCTTTTTACATCGTGGTGACCAAAACTGGATGCAGTATTCCAAGTGTGGCCTTACCAAGGCCTTGTAAAGTGGTATTAATACTTCACGTGATCTTGATTCTCTTCCTCTGTTACTGCAGCCTAGAACTGTATTGGCATGAGGTACAGTGTATCTAAGACAGAGAATTATAAGGATCCAACTGAATGAGAATGGTCCATGCAAATCACTGTTGCCTGTTCTAATTGCATCCTAAGTTTACAGCAGATTTTTTCCCAATTCAAACCTTTAGTGGTCGTGCCACAAATCAGACCTCTAATGTGTTGCATGAAAAGCAGATTTTTACAAAATGGCTCTCATATTTTCAGATTTAGTAATCTGATTTCCTGTTAGAAATGTGTTCTTCATCCCCATGAGATAATGCATCTTTCCTGGATTTTACAACATTTGTTTCCAACTCACCTTTGTAGCTAAAATGATTTGTTCAGAGTTAATGCTGAAACCTTGACCTGGGGGAGCCCTAGGATCTATCTCTCCAACTTTCACAGGGACAAAAGATTGATTCGGGAGGAAAAGCCAGTTGAAAAGATCATAACGAGCAGATCCCAGTCCATTTTCTGAGAAGAAGACTTCTTCTCCAGCACTGTTGTTGAACTGGACGTTCCTCAAACTGGAAAGAATCTGAAAGAAAGGAGGCCTTCAGAGATTGGAGTACTTGGCTGAAAGCCACAAATAAGACATCATGGCTTATTTTATTCTATGATGGCCATCATCTTAAAGAGATGTGTGTATGTTTGAGAAGCTTGTAGAGTTCCCTTGGTGGAGATCAAAGCAATCGAAGTAACACCAAATATGTGATTCCTTCCTCAATATTACAAAATGTATCATTGTTTTTTCAACCCTACTTTTACCAGAATGATACCTACAAGAATTTAATGCCACATTCCAAATTTCATTATACAGTTTTGCTTCTGTGATCCTTGGTTACATGCATTTTTAAATCAGAATCAGAATATTTACTTTGGCCCAATGTCTTGTAAATGACAAACACATTTTAGGAATGATTAAATATTTAGCATCACAACACTATAAGATACCACTGGTTTTCTCTTGCTGATAATTAAACAAAGCAAAATGCAGGAGCCAGGTCTGGTGAAGTGGAGCCATGTGGAAGGAAGTGCGGCCCAGCTTTATCAATTCACTGTCCAGAGAGGCCCAATGTTTAGCCATTAATGGAAAAAAGTCTGACGTGTTTCAGATGAAGAATATTTGGGTCCTGCTGTGGGCTCAAGTTGACAAATCAATCATAGTATCATAGGGCTGGAATGGATGTTGGAGATCTTGTAGTCCAACCTTTGCCCAAGGCAGAAGTCCATTTCTGGACAAATGGTTTTCCAATCTTTTTTGAAATCCTCAAGTGATGCAACTTCCTGTTCCATTGATTAATTGTTCTCACTGCCCAGAAATTCCTCCAGGTTGAATCTCCCTCTGATAAGCATCCACCTATTGCTTCTTGTCCTGCCTCAGTTGCAAAGGAAAATAAATTAATCCCCTTTTCATTGTGACAGCCCTTTTGGTAGACTGCTATCATGTCTCCCCTGAGCTTTCTCTTCATGACAATTTAACAATTGCTGTGTTAATATCCTTTCAAAAGCTTTGATATGGCAGCATGCAGACTTTTAATCAGTATTTAAAGAAATACTGTACATGTGGGTAGCTTTCTCTTTAAGGATCTGTGGAATGGACAAAAAGTCACAGTGATTACCTGCCATGACTGGACATTTGAGATTCTCTTTCTAAGTCTTGTCATGGTTGGTCGTGCTCCTGATCCATACATTCTGTGTAATGCATGTGCTGCAGCAAATATGGCATTGTAGATGTTGTAACTTTCATCTGTCATTCTTGTTTCAAAAATATAATTTGGCAGATTGTGTAAATTCTCTTTTCCTGTACATTGTTTTTCACCCTTTGGAGGGATATTGCCTGCTTTGTGAATCTTGCAACCGAAGACCATTTCCCACCATAGTGGGAGAAAAACATCCCTTTGTGGATTCAAAGGGTCTAAAGACAGGAGAAAATGGCTAAATTCTGGGACATCCTCGGTATGGCCCCTAAAATGTAAAGCCCCATGGAAAGGCTTTATAACTTGCAATATGTCTCGAGATCCCACTACACTAAGTTTCCAATGAGAAGTTAAGATCCAAACTTTCCAAAATGGTGTGTGTCTCAATTTTTCTTGAGTATACAGAGCCACCTGTACACTAGTAATACTATTAGAATCACCAAAGAGAATAACCACTTCAGTTTTAGACCAAGTTGGGAAAATACGAAGTAATTTTGTCACTGTATTATAAATATTATCTGATTTCAACATTTCAGTGAAAGCTAGGCAGATCTCCTTCTCCTCAAGCATTGGCATCAGAGATGAGATGAAATGGTCTCCACTGTCATCTTCAGGGGCTACCAGCCCAACCCAGTTCCACTGGAAATACAGGAGCAGCTGGAGTAAACCCACGTACTGATGAAATTCATTGGGGTTAATCCGGAAGAAGGAAGGATAAACTTTTCTGTCTATCTGAGTGAAATCAAAATCAGCACCAAGCTAGAGAAAGTGAGATTCATTTTTCAAAGACAAAGTCAAGTTTTATGATGACTTTACAGGTCACAATTGTATAGTTTCTTGCCTCTTCAATTAAGGTAGCTCACTTTGACTGACAAGCTTAAACTTCTCTTTCTTCTTATGAAGGGCCACATATATTGCTTAGCTGAGATATGGGAACAACTCATCAATCTGATACATGGAATAAAGTATGCAGAAAGTGTGGCTATCCTTTTAAGAAAAATAAGTTAGGAAGGAATTCCACTTGGCAAGTACAACATTTCAGCATTATCTTATCTCTCTATTTGTAGTTAGGTAAAAACGCCTTTATACATAAACTACAAAAATGAATTCAACTACAGCATGGATTTTCTAAATCACATACCCTTTGATGTGCCCCCGGAAGCTCTAAGTTTTCTGTATGTGCTTCCGATATTTGTCTACTCTATACTTTCTCCAGTGGAGCTTCCTTACCTGTGGGACCTTGAAGATGCTGAAGATGGAAGCCATCTGCCTTGAGGATTTGGAATTGAAACCTCCAATAACAGAAAGCAGAATGTCCTTCTGATCACATTTATAACCTGGAACCATTTGGTTTTGTGAGGAGAGCAGAAAGAAGCTGATTAGGAAAATCTTCCTCTCAACCTGGAAATTGCTATAAATGTTGAAGCCAAGAGTGATGTTTGGGAGGAGAACCAGACCTTTGTTGACTTCTGCAACTGCAAACATCAAGACTAGGAACTGCTGGTAGCTCTTGGATTCATGTCTGTAATTAGAAAAAAAAAACAGTGGTGAAAATTACAGGAAAGCTTGTGTTGGAGTTTTCCTTGCATTTTTTAAAGTGTTCATTGGAGCAGAAACTCCCATGTTGTTTTTAAAGGATCTTCCTTGGTTAAATTTGGATGGCTTTGAGAGAAGGAAGAAAAGTCTTTCTATGCATACCATGGATCATTTTATACCCCTCTATCATTCCTCCCTTCTTCATTTTGCTACAGTGGTTATAATGCCTCCCAATTGCTCCTCTAATCAATTTGATTCACTCTTGGAGCAGTTTTTTTCAGGTCTGGTAACCACTGATGAGCACAAGACTTACTGAAGGCCATTATTCATAAGCATTGCAAATTCTAAAACTTTTTTTTTCAGTATCGCACAATGGAAAAGTATTGAGCTTTTGTTTATTCAATTTCCATAGCTACCTGTCAGGGGAGAAAGATGAAGACTACAAGTTTATGGAGATGCTCAGTCATCCAGGTCATGATTGCCCCAAAGGTGCTTTTTTAAGAGGCACCTGGACTTTCTTGTTTTTCTTTGTAGACATTTTGCTTCTCATCCAAAAAGCTTCTTCAGCTCTGACTGAATGGTGGGGAAATGGCAGGATTTATATTCCTTGCAGACAGCTGGTCCTTTGCATTCTTTTAGGGAGTCGTTAAGGCCACTTGGAGGTTTACCTTTCTCTCGGGGTCATCTGAGTAGTGCAAATGTTTGTGGAGCCTTCTTGCCTGCAGGATCCCCAACAGACTGTGCCTGTCTTCAACAGTGAAGGGACACAGGGCAGAAGATATCCTGCAGCCAAGAAGGCTCCACACCCATTTGCACTACTCAGGTGATCTTGAGAACACAGCTAAACCTCCAAGTGGCCTCAAGAACTCTCTGAAAGAATGCAAATGACCAGCGGTCTGCAAAAAATATGAATCCTTCCATTTCCACACCATCCAGTCAGAGCTGAAGAAGCTTCTTGGATGAGAAGCAAAATGTCTTCAAAGAAAAATAAATAAAAATCCGCTTGAAAAAGCATATTTGGGACAACCAAGACCATACATGAATAAAACTGATTTATTACTACTCTGTCTATGCATAAAAATCTATGCATAGAAATCTATTAAACTAACAGCACTATTTTGGCACTAGATAAGGGTCACAAAAATTCAAGAGCAGCTGGACTCTAGTCCATTTGTGACTATGTAAAAACTCTAGGCTGATTCCTCTTTTGATTCCACTCTCAGGTTCTGCTGCTCTTTCTTCTACATCACCCAAATCAACCAAGTGACTCTGGGTGACTTGGTTGAATTTTCCACTGTGACTTTCTGTCAAAATTAATATTACCAGTCAACTTCTTCATGACAGCAACACAGTTTTCAAGGGGTTCTCCCTCCTTATATTTGATGTTGTTTATCAAATTGATTATTTATCATCTTCCTGATGAAGAATGCTGGAAAGACTAGGAATTCTAGCCTATTTTATGAGCTTGCCTCTTTATTGAAAAAAGAAAAAAGATTTCAACTAGGCTAGGGCATTGCAACCATCCCCAGAACACGTATTTCTGAAAAGAATCCCTGAATACAAAATAAATCAATCATCTTACCACCACCCACAAGTGAAACTTACAACATTCGATAAGTAAGAAGGAATGGGTCTTTTTGAAAGTCTGGGATGCTTGCAGAAGAAATGGTTGCCAGAGGTAAATTCCCACCAATAATCAGATCACCAGGCCTGTAATATTCCCATTGATCCTGAATCTGTAAAGGGTTTATGAAAACACATATAGTTTGCATCCTCTTAGCAGTAATTGGAGGCAGGAACCAGAAGAGCAGCAGCAGTAGGAGAGGCAGCCCAATCATTCTTGTCACCTTCCCTCCTAGATCAGAAATCAAGATTTGTTCAGAAGCTGAATTGCAGGTAACACTTGAAAATCTCACTAGCACTTTAACACAATAGAGATAAGCCACGTCACTTGAATATCCAAGGCAAATTTATATCAGTCATGCTTCCTCTTCCCTGTGTTTGGGCTGTGACCAAAGAGAAAACTAAGGCAGCTGAATCTCAATAAACCCAGGTGTGTTTTTTCTTTACAAAACAAGGTAGGTGTCTTGTCCTGCCCCCACAGGGAGAATTCAAAGCATATTTTTAAAGCAGGTTTTATAATGGAAGACTTTGTGGGTAGAAATCCAGAGAGGATATTAAAAATTATTGTTCTTCTGATAATTAGTCTTCACACAAAAAGAAACCATAGTCCAACATACACACACACACCCAAAAAAACACTGCAAAAGACATACTAGAAACAAAAATCCAAATAAGCAAGAAAATGGTAAGGAACACCTATCCAACCTTGATGAATACAAATCACTGTGACCTGACAGACTACACCCCAGGGTTCTGAAGGAGCTGGCAGATGTTACATCAGAACCATTGCACCACATCTTTCATAAATCCTGGAGCACCAGGGAAGTACCCGAGGACTGGAAAAGGGGTGATGTGGTACCCATCTTCAAGAAAGGGGGGAAAATGGATCCAGGAAACTACAGATCAAATAGTTTAACATCAATACCTGGGAAGATCCTAGAAAAGATAATAAAAAACAGATCTGTGAACAACTAGAAGCAAACAAAGTCATAACTAGCAGCCAGCACGGGTTTGTTAAAAACAGATCATGCCAAAACAATCTTATCTCATTTTTCAATAAAGTGACTAAACTAGTAGACCAGTGAAACGCAATGGACGTAGTATACTTAGATTACAGTAAGGCATTTGACAAAGTGGACCACAACCTAATTGGCAAGCTAGAAAAAGGTGGAATACACAACATCACCACCAGATGGATCTGTAGCTGGCTGACAAACTATACTCAACAAGTAGTCCTCAACGGCACTACATCCACATGGCGAGAAGTAAGCAGTGGGGTACCACAAGGTTCCGTCTTAGGCCCAGTACTCTTCAATATCTTCATTAATGATTTACATGAAGGAATTGAACGGGAACTCATCAAATTTGCAGATGACACCAAGCTGTCAAGAGTAGCCAACACCCCAGAAGACAAACTTAGGATCCAAAAAGATCTTGACAAACTCAAACAATGGGTCCTATCCAACAAAATGAGTTTCAGTGTGGAGAAAATCAAAGTCTTACACTTAGGCAGGAAAAATCAAAGGTATGAATACAGGTTGGGTGAGACCTGGCTTAAAAACAGTAACTGTGAGAGGGACCTTGGAGTCCTAGTGGATGATCACTGGACTATGAGCCAGCAGTGTGCAGCAGCAACCAAAAAAGCTAATACAATCCTGGGTTGTATAAACAGAGGCATAGAATCAAGATCATGCGAAGTACTAGTACCACATTACAAAGCTCTAGTAAGACCACATCTGGAATACTGCAGCCAATTTTGGTCACCATACTACAAAAAAGATGTTGAGACCTTGGAAAAAGTTCAGAGTAGAGCAACTAAAATGATCAAAGGCCTGGAGGCTAAAACATATGAAGAACAGCTGCGGGACTTGGGTTTGGATAGTTTAAAGAAAAGAAGGAATAGGGGAGACTTGATAGCAGTATTCCAGTATCTGAGGGGCTGCCACAAGGCAGAAGGGGTCAGGTTGTTCACCAGAGAGAAGGAAGAGAAACAATGGTTGGAAACTGATCAAGGAGAGAAACAACCTGGAATTAAGGAGAAACTTCCTGACAGTGAGGACAATCAACCAGTGGAACAGCTTACCCTCAGAAATCATGGGCACTTCATCACTGGAGATTTTTAAGAAAAGTCTAGACAATCACCTGTCCGAGATGGTGTAGGTTCTCCTGCTTGAGCAGGGGGCTGGAGTATAAGACCCCAGGGTCTATTCTATTCTATTCTATTCTATTCTATTCTATTCTATTCTATTCTATTCTATTCTATATTCTATATTCTATATTCTATATTCTATATTCTATATTCTATTCTATTCTATTCTATTCTATTCTATTCTATTCTATTCTATTCTATTCTATTCTATTCTATTCTATTCTTGAAAGGAAAAGCATTTCTCCTTGCAAAGAATGTGTCATGGTTCTTATAGATGAGACCAGTAGAAATAAGAACTCTGGGGCAATTGATTTCCTCAAAGAACAAATTGTAATGGCTACATAATATCAGCATGAACATAGGTGAAACCAAGACTTGAAGTCCCCCCCCCAAAAAAGTTACAAAGTAAAATTTAAACTTCCCACCCACTAAATATGTAATAAATCACATTTTCCAATCAACACCTTTGGTGGGCTCTATAACGGTTGTTCTAGCCCCTGAAACACTTGAGCTATTTGACCTGGGTTCCCACAAGAAAGTTTTTGTTATGACTGAACTAGAAGAATGCATCTTCCCTCCCCCTTAGCTGTGGCAAGCCAAAAAACGAAGAAAGATGGCTGTAGCCAACATAGTTTTGTAGGTTTGACAGAATGGTTGGTGGAATTGGGTATGTCTATTCTATTCTATTCTATTCTATTCTATTCTATTCTATTCTATTCTATTCTATTCTATTCTATTCTATTCTATTCCTACCCACTTACCACTAACCTTTGGTTGCACACCAGAAAGGAAAAGACATGTTTATGTCTCTATTTGCTGATCCACAAAGTAGATGGACGTGACACTCAAAGGTGGTGCATATTTGAACTACCTGAAACTGAGCACCTATAAACAATTTGGAGTTTGGGCTGTGCCCCTAGTTTCTTCAGATAATACTAGTGCTAATGTGGCATGGTGGCACATGACAATCATTTGCAGTCTAGTAATTGCAAGCAATAATACCAATGTTTGGATGGAAGGTTTATTTAATATATATCCACATGACAGGGAACAAAATTAGAAACTCACTTCTCCAATAGATTTTATAAATAGCTGGAGGTTCTCTCGAGATAGTAGACTAATGTAAAATCTACACAAATATTGTCTAACAACTAGGTGGATCCAGAGAAGTTTGTCTCCTGTCTTTGTTGTATGAAATATATCTTTAGAATTATCAACTGGTGTGGAAAGGTCACTATTACCCATGGTAAACCTCTGGACTATCTGGAGTAATAAAAATTAGTGCATGGTGTTATGTGATTCTCTCCATTCTCTGAACTTGGTTTCAGTTAATGTTGATTGGAGGGGAGAGATTGAGCCCAACCCTGATTTTCAGGGTGCTTCAGGAAGCCATTTTTTTTCAGGGAGACCCTATACCATTTCAAATGGCTGTCCAGTCTCTTTTTGAAAGTTTCCAGTGATGGAACACCCATAACTTCTGAAGGCAAACTATTCCACTGTTTGATTGCTCTCACTGTTCGGAAATTTCTCCTTAGTTCTAGTTGCTTCTCTGCTTGATTAGTTTCCATCCATTGTTTCTTGTCTGGCCTTTTGGTACTTTGGAAAATAGTTTGATTCCGTCATCTTTGTAAGAGCCCCTCAAATTTTGGAACAGTGATATCATGTCACCCCTAATCCTTCTTTTAATTAGACAGATATACCAGATAGATTAGATAGATAGATATACTAGATATACCCAATTTCTGTAACCGGTCTTTGTATGCTTTAGCCTCCAGTCCCCTAATCATTCTTGTTGCTCTTCTCTGCACTCTTTCTAGAGTCTCAACATCTTTTTATATTGTGGTGACCAGAACAGGATGCAGTATTCCAAGTGTGGTCTTACTAAGGCTTTGTAAAGCGGTACTACAGCTTCATGTGATCTTGATTCTATCTTTCTATTAATTCAGTCTAGGATTGCATTGGCTTTTTTGGATGCTGCTGCATAGTGTTGGCTCATTTTTAAGTGATAGTCCACTAGAACTCCAAGATCCCTCTCACAATTACTAGCATTAAGTCAAGTTTCACATAGTCTATACCAGGGGTGTCAAACTCAATTTCACTGAGGGCTGCATCAGCATTGTGGTTGCCCTGGGGGGGCTGGGTGGGTGTGGTGAGAGTGGGTGCAGCCTACTGGGTGGGCGAAGATGGAGTGGGTGTGGCCTACTGGGTGGGTGTGGCCAGCTCTACATCGTTCGCGTCAAGGATGCCTGTGGGGGCCTGGGCAGGAGTGGGACAGATCTGAGGGTCTCTGGCAGAAGGGGGTGGGACCGGGGCAAGTGCCAAGGCATGGTCCACTGGAGGAGCCTCACTGTTCCTCTCAGGCCATGCACGGGGGGGGGGGGCTTATGGAGCTAAGACTGAATGCGTTTCAGCATAGATGGCCACCACAAAATTGTACATTGGCTCCCAGCTGGGCCTGGGCCAGGGCCAAGACAGCGGGGGCCATTCCCTCACTGTTTCCAGGATGGCTTCGCGAGCCACATGAAACCACTTCACGGGCCGCATCCGGCCCCCGGGCCTTGTGTTTGACATGTCTGGTTTATACCTATACAGTTGGTTTTTCTTGCCTAAGCATAAACCCTTACATTTATCTACATTGACTTTCATTTTGAGAGGTGCCTGCTGGCTTTAGCTGAAAAGCTAGGATGATCATCATGCATTGGGTGACCTTGCTGAAAACATAATCATGAATGAAATTCAATTCTGATGTAGGACATACCGTGTTTTCCCAAAAGTAAACCTGTCCCCAAAAGTAAGCCGCAGTTGATTTTTAGGGGTGGGCCTGATATAAGCCCTCCCCCGAAAGTAAGCCATACTTAAGGCCCTGCACAGACGGCCTCTGTGATGAGCTGAAGCCGATGGGGGAGGGGGGATGCATTATACTAAAAGATTGTGAAGTTGGAATTGATGGATCTTTTTTTCCCCAAAAAAACCCACCTTCGTTTGTTTCCTTGCACGCGGCGGCTGCGAATCGCGAAAGAGAAATGGCATGGGGCTGGGAGTCAGGTAAAGAAAGAAAGGCAATTTCTGGGGGGAGTGAGGATTTCTTTCCTTACCTCCCCCACTTGTTCTGAGGCCACTTTCCACTCATCCGCGTTGCTCTTGCTAGTGGCCCAACTGCCCACTTCAGCAGCCTCCCTCCCCGAGCCTCTGGCACTCCACCTGCTGCTTTGGTCAGCCTTCCCACCGCTGCCCAACATGGCCACCCCGGGCTGCAGGGGCTGGCATGTCATGGGAAGGGCATGCACCCCACCCTCCCACCACCATACAGAGTAAGGTTGCCACGCTCGCCTCCGCCCAGATTCCCTCGCCCCCCCAAGCATTTTTTACTAACCTGCCTTTCACCTGCTTTTCATTTCTCTGTTTGCTTCTCAGCCTTTGTCGTGGGTTTGTGGGACTATCGGTAAAAAAAAAAAGTTCCATCAGACTTTCTAACTTGAGATCTTGTGAGAAGTTAGAAAGTCTGATGAAACTTTTTTTTTACCAATAGTCCCACAAACACACGGTGAAGGCTGAGAAATGAATGGAGAAACAGAATGCAGCTGAAAGGCAGGTTAGTAAAAAAAAATGTTTGGGGGAGGTGAGGACATCGAGGCGGTGGCGGGCGCAGCAACCTTACCCGGTGTGGCTTCGGTAGGTGTCTGGCAGGGGGAGGGAAGCAACTGTTCTGCCACCATGCTAGCGCCACCGTGTTGCTTCTCTACCCCATGCACAGGCTCCGCCCCACCCCTGCATGCTCGCAGCCTACTGGTGCCGGTACTGGCAAAAAGTAAGCCCTCTCTAAAAGTAAAACACTGTGCTTACTTCAGAGCCCAAAAGAAAGTAAGAGAGTGTCTTACTTTCATGGAAACACAATAGATCAAATTAGGTCAATGACTTACTGAGGATCTCCAAGAGATGATAGGGCACAATAGATGATTACAATCCAGCTAACATGCTATGCTCTTCCCTCCCAGGAAACTCCACCCTATTGATGAGGTAGCATAGCAGAAATGGATTAATGGGGGATTCAAAAAAGCCAAATGAACAGAATAGGGAATCCTACAAAGCCTAAGGAGATTGTGGAATAATACACACATCTTTAACACCAAAACTTATTTCTTTGCAGGTCATTGGTCCTCACTGGTATCAGTTAGAAGCCATGGAAAATAAAAGGTTGGATGATTGTTGCTGACAACTGGTATATTGGGACCAAGATATTATCAAATGGATATGTTCCTCCTTCATTTCATCATTTTTAAAAAATATTTTATTCTAAACATGTCTCAAAGATAAGTGAAAATGTGGGGATCTCCTGAATTATTTAGAGATTCTTGTTTCTTATTAAATTTTCTTTACAGTTAAGATTGGGTCTCAATAGGATAATGTAGCATTTGGGGGAAAAGATACAAACCAAGAGACCAGTCGCAGAGGCCAAGATGGAGAAGATCTCCACAGCCACCATGGACTTCCCTTTGGTGCTCAGGTAGGTAGGGAGGAATGTGATCCAAACACTGCAAAAGACAAGCATGCTAAAAGTAATGAACTTGGCTTCATTAAAGCTGTCGGGCAATTTTCTGGCCAGAAAGGCTACTGTGAAACTGATGAGGGCCAGGAAACCTAAGTAGGCGAGGACAGCATAAAACATTGAAGCTGAGCCTTCATTACATTCCAAGATGGCCTCTCCTACCAAGGAGTGGAAGTCCAAGTTAGGATATGGGGGAGATGTCACCAGCCAGATGACACAAAGAATTGCTTGGACTAGGGGACAGGCTAAAACAATGGAATTGGTCAGTGGTTTTCCTAAGAGTTTCCTTGTCCTGTTCCCTGGCTTGGTAGCCATGAAGGCCAGAACCACCATGACAGTTTTTGCTAAGACAGAGGAAACAGCAAAGGAAAAGAGAATGGCAAAGGCAGTTTGTCGGAAGAGACAGGTGATCTTCCCTGGTTGACCAATGAAGAGGAAGGAACAGAGGAAGCAGAGCAGGAGGGAGACCAGGAGGATGTAGGTGAGATCTCTGTTGTTGGCCTTGACAATCGGTGTGTTATGATGTTTAAGGAAAATCACCAGGACTGCAGATGTGCTCACAAAGAGAGAAAGAGCAAGAAAAATTAAAATGTATCCCAGGGTCTCTTGATAGGCAAGGAAGTGGATCTTCTTGTCAATGCAGTGATCAGTGTTCTTGTTGGTATATTGATCTTCTGGGCAAGGGTCACAGTGGGCTGCATCTAAAATCAAGAATCTGCCATGAGCATTATCAGGTGCTTCGCTTTCTTCTGTGGGCAAATCACCAAAGTAAGTGATGGAATGTTCTATTGCATATTTTATGTGGCATCAAAAAGAGTAACTCATTCTATATTCATGATGACTGTGGGGATAGGTAAGTCAGAAACAAGAGTTTGTTTAGCTCCAGCTCACCTGTCAGTGTGCTGCAGAAAAAAATGTCTCTCTTCACTCACTGGGCACATTCATGACAACTGTGGCTTTCATTGTCAGGAGAGATAGCGGTTTTTTTCCCCACACTTTACACAAGAATCCCCAGAAGACAAATAAATCAGTATTCTTGCTATTCTGTTTCTGTGACCATTATCTGTTGCTTATCTATGGCTCAACTACTATGCTCTGTATTTGAGATCAACTCATTCAGACATTTTTTTGAAGGAAAGAGTTAGCAGACATACATAGATGGATCTCTTTCTCTTGCAGGCCTATTTCCTGGCTGATTGATAATGTCGAAAGAAGAAGCAAACTGTAAAAAAGATTAAAGCATGAATCACACACCCCACTCATTCAGAAAAAGATTGGAAATTGGCTTCCCCAATCCAATGTGAAAATAGGCATGGAAAGATTAGTAGGGAACCTGTAAATTTTGACCTGCATTAAATTAATTAGGAGTAGGAAAGATGGCCTGTGGGGGAATGACAGTTTAGGTCAATAAACTGAGGGATTCTTCTGAAAACAATTAATGCTTTGAAGCACGCCTCAATCTTACTGAAAGTGACAACAACAAATATTTTTTATCAACTGAATGGCTTCCTAGATTCCAGAAGATCTACATTTGAAGTCTGCTCTACCTGTCTGATTAGAAATGGTCCCTTCTGGACAAGGGGCACATTGGTAGCAGCAAACCTGCTCGCCCTCTGGAACATTTCTCCTCTCTCCTGCATGGCACCTCTTCATGCCACACCTGGCAAAGGGAGGCTTCTAAAAGAGAAAAGACAAATGGTTGAGATGGCTTATTCAATAGACATGCTTCATTAATTCATTTCCACATTCCTATTTCCATTTCATATTCCTATTTCTATGTTCAGAATGTCTTCAAAATAAATTGTTCACCATAGTCTACTAGAAACTAGGAACAGCTTCTGAGGGATTCAAGCCAGTGGCACTCCTTGGATCCTGGACATTGGAACTGGAATCTAGCCTGGAAAGGAAGATTTGTGACATTGAGCTACAGCATTTATAAAACAAAGAATCATGAAGATCCAACTGAACAGGAATGGTCAATAGAAATCATTGTTGCTTGCTCTTATGGCATTCTGAGTGTCAATGCTGTAAACATTGGATGTTCCCGCTCTGACAACTGATGTAAATTGCAGCCATTTTCTCTTTACTTTTAACATACTTTTTTCTGGTATTTAGAAATCAGGTGCAGAAGGGGGAGGTTGGGATGAAAGCTCTAGCTCAGCTAGCCATAATAATAATGCTGCTTTGTGGGAACCCAAGGATGAACTGATAACATTTTGGCAGGCTGAGGAGCTGGGGAGAAAGCCCGCCTTTTAGGCTAATTGGAGAATGTGATTTATGACAGCTTATTGGGGGTGGGAATTGCACTTTGTTACTTTATATCTGGAGGAAGGGAAATTAGTTTTTGGGTTCGACTATGTAGTGCTGATACTTTGCTTCCTGAATAAAATGTTCTTTAAGGAAAAATTTTGCCTTGAATTTCTTTTGATGGGTTTCATCTATTGGAACCATAACACTGGGTTTCTAGCAGGAATTCTTCACAACCCCAATCCTTTGGGGATTGACACAAATCACAGTTGGAAAGTGTTACATGCAAAACAAGTTTTCACCAAATAGCTACCATGTTTCCTGATTCAATAGACCTGTTTCCCAGTTAGAAGGATGTTCTTCATCCCCAGGAGAAAATGAATTATTTTCTGAATTTACAACAGTTTCTTGCAGCTCACCTTTGTGACCCAGATGATTGTACTGGTATTAATGGTGAATTCCTGACCGGGGGGAGCACGAGGATTTATTTCCCCAACTTTCAAGGGGACAAAAGATAGATTGGGAAAAAAAACCCAGTTGAGAATGTCATATTGAGCCGATTCTAGTCCATTTGCTGAGAATGAGACTTCATGTCCAGCACTGTTGTTGAACTGAACGCTTCTCAAATAGAAAAGAATCTGAAAGAAAAGAGATCTTAAGAAATTGAAGTAATTGGATAGCATAGCACTCATATCAGAAGCACGGAGGCACTTCTGGGTTGAAAGGATTAGCCAGTGACATCACTGTTGCCCAGGGGATGTCCATTTGGAGGGGCGGGATCCATTCATGTCCTTGCAGGAGCTGGAGTAAAGGATGGGAGCTCAACCCCACCCCATGGCAGCACTCAGGTCTCAAACACATGCTTGCTAATCTCCAATCCAGCATCCTAACCATGCTCCTCAGGTAACTGGATGAAAGCCACACATGAGATATCAGGATTTCTATCATATCATGACATCGGCCATCATCTTAGGAGACATACATATATCTTTTAAATTAGAGGAGTTCCCCTGATGGAGATCTGACCAATCTGGAGTAAATATTTAACTCTTTCTGCAAAACATTGAAAGTTTCTCTTTAGCAGCTTCCGGTTGTGACATCATGGCAACACGGACACAGGGAAACAAGGCTCTGTTTCCCACGCCCGAATTCTACCTGCTGGGGGCCTGAAAGGACTGAAAGTTGTCCCGTAGAGGTGACGGGCTGAAGGGTGAATCCTTGCAGACCGCAGGTTGGTAGTAGTTGACCCACTTCATCCAAGGAAGCCCCCGGACCAGCAGGAAGAAAGGCTGACCACACCCCTGCTGCCAGCCAGAAGCTGCTGACCGCCGGGAGACTTATGACTACAACCAAGCGATAGCAAAACAGCTGATCTGGATGTGATTATCTTCCTTATCTTTCTACAATTGAAAAGCCTGTTCTGGAAAGAAGTTCCCAAAAGCAAGA